CCCTGGTTTCGGCTGGTCACGTGTCACCCAGATTCTGGGTGATAAATTAAAATGATACTATGGGCAGGGTGGGAGAGGAGCGTGTTTGTCACGTTTGTAACAATATTTGCAATTCTGTGTGATGTAGTGATGGGCGATACCAGGATTTTTAATCGATACCGATACCGATACTTTTAAGATCGGTATCGGCCGATACCGATACCTATTTCGATACCGGAAGTGAGTACTTAAATTTCTAGTATCGGCTACTTTAGATACCTGCCGGTCAGCGGAAAAACATTTTACATTACTGTATGTAACCTAAACTAGTTTACCCACAGGGTAGTGAATGCTGCCTTGGTGTAGCATTGTTCCCAAATCTTTAGTATTTTAAAGAACAAGAATAAGAAATATTTGTAATGAATTGTAATCATCCATAATTTATACATCAACATTTTCAAAAACGGCCAATTAGACCAGGGGTTAAAGGGCAATGACAATGACATGCAGGTGACATTTAACATGTGTGACTGTGCGTCTCACTAATTAAAATTTGCGTGTTTAATAATAATGTTTATCAAAGAAGGCAAAACTTTATACAAAGCAACCTCACATGTGGAATCTGTTCACTTACGCACTGCCTTGTGATGCACTACAAGTATAAATACAAATGACAAAGCATTTTTAAATCCTAAAACATAATTAAATCATACCGCACATTCAAGATTTTATTAATATCGTATTTCAGCCGCGTTCATACTGCTTGGCGCATTCGCTGCGTTATATTCATTTATATATACTGTACACAGATTTATTACTAATAAATCAACACTATATGATAATATATAGAACTCACAAAGTGCATAAATAAACCTTTTTAAAGCATGTCATTGTCATTGCAGACCAGAGGCAAAAACCAAAAAGCATTGTCAACCACATACCAAATTTAAGCAATCGTGAAATAAGAATATGGAAATAATGTTGAATGAAAGCATCGCGTATAATGTTAAAAGCACCGCGTGTAATGCTTGAACCACTGCGTATAATTGCGAAACCACCGCGTATATTAAAATGGTGAAAGCACCGCGTATAATGGTAAAAGCACCTGGTATGATGGCGAAAGCACCGCATATAATGCCAAAACCACCGCCGTAATGCCGTATAATGCTAAAAGCACCCAACAAAATGCTATTTGATCACTTTAAGCCAGCTATGGCTTTCCATAACAGAAGACCAAAGATGAAAGATGATCACATTGCCTATTTGCCTTATGCCTGACCGCACTGCACCACGGTTAAAATTCACTGGTACCGTCATGCAATGCGCCAAATAGAAAATTTTGATTTCGACCCACAAAACAAAATTAGGATCTGCTGCCTTGCTCGCTCGCTTCAGGCTCGCTCGCTGCGGCAGCAATAAAGCTATAAGTAAACCAAAAGCCCGAAACGTAATAAATATTTTCTATACATGAGTTGGCGCACCACATTTGGAATATTAAGAGTTATTTTAGTGGTTTATTAAGTCTTATTCAACCAAGAAGTGAAATTAAACAAGTCGTTTAAAAAAGGGTGCAAGTAACGAACGATACCACGTCAGTAATCGATACCGATACCGCTGTTTGTGGTATCGCTGGTATCGAATACCGAGTACTCGGTATCGCCCATCACTAGTACTGTGATGAAATTTAAATTTGCAACAAGAAATCGTGAAGAGAACTGCAATTAAAAATTAATATTTATCGTGATGTGACTTTCTGCTCTATAATCTAGTGTCGAGTTACAATTCAAGCAAGTTGGATCAGATTTCA